CACACCAGTGACCTTCGTCTACGCCAATTCGGAGGCTAGGTTTTAGTATTTGCGCATCGAGTAATATAAGTAGCCTTGCGCGAACAGTCTCGAGTTGAACAAAGCTTCCACCTAGAAATAGGTCATAACAGCGGAATCTGACTGCGCAATTAGGGCACCGTATCGTGAACAAGGAAGTCATATATTAGCCTCCGTATAGTAAAGATCTTGAGTCTAAGTTGTGGCGTTGTGGCTTTAGGTAAAGTTGTGACGGTACGACGTGACTGCCACAAACGCGTACGGGATTCTCCGAACGAACTTTACTTGCGCATTCTCATCCTATCTCTCATCTTACCGCCATCGCCCCCCATCTATCGTGAGTAACGACGGGAAAGAGGGTCAGATGGACAGCAAAGCACGAAGACACCTCCTCCTTGCGATCTGTCTCGCTGTATGCCACGAACAACGTATCTTCTGGCGCTGTCTCGATACGAATTCCTAGCGTACAATGTCGACGATACGGCTGGCTCAGCACCGGGAACTTGTACGGGGAACCATTGCGCATCGTCGCGGCGAGCTTGCCCGGAATACATCAGATAACACACGCGATGCGGTTCGTAGATATATTGAAACAGGGATACAAACGATAAAATAACACTCCCAACGTATTATCCCCCATCCCATTATTCGAGTCGAGCATCGTTGAGCTCCATCCATTCATGTCTCTCTGCCTGTCAGACTCTCCCGGCCTCGCCCCTCCTTTACTTCCGGACCGCTCTGTCAGAACTGAGATATCTCGTGAAGGTCTGCAGTTTGTTAATATCTGCCAAACGGATATTTGTTCCTTTGACAATTGTAAGATGTTTGAGTTTTGTTGCCTGCTGGCGATGCTGAAACGATCTTATCAGATCGTTTATGAATGTCTTCTTAGGTCTCGGGCCATTCTTCTTCTTCCGCGGCCGGAACCAGACGTTCTCGAGGATTAGCGAATACATCTGCGGAAAGACTGGGTGATAGTCTTGCTGGCCTCCCGGGCGAAAAGCAAGCCCAGAGTCGAACACTTTGCTGGCGTCGCCTTCGATGCACAAGGTACGAACGGCGTCCATTTGTTCAAAGAGACCGTACCATGTCGCCCTCGAATTGCGCTCGTAACCTTCCCCATTAGCTACTGTGAACTCCCGGACAACCTGTAGGCTGCTTCCGAGCTCCCTCGCTATGGCAGTCAATGCTCGATTTTGTATATCTTTACCGAGGAATTCAAGACGGACGGCATCCGTTTCTGTCTCCAGTCCAGTGAATGTGAGCTCTAGAGATTGACCGCTCTGTGTGCAGATGTTGGCGTCGTACCCTTGGCAGTTTTTTGCGACGTGGTCTAGAAGAGGCGCGATCGATTCAACGACATTATGAATGTCCCCGCCAGGCGCCGTAATGTCAAGGTCCACATCTTGCAGATTCGGCGCAATCAGGAATGAGAGGAATAGAGCTTCATCTACCCCGACGTCCTCCACTACGACGGTCTCCAATCGAGGGCATGGTACGGCTGATCCGTCTTCCAGATTGTCGATCCTAGTCAGTTTCATCGATATCTGAAGCAACCGCAGCTCCTGCATGGCTTCTATCGTCAGAAGCAAGCCTTCAGCGTTCATTTTCACCGTTGCGGCATTTCGAACGAGTGGGACACATAGGTCAGGTTCGATGTAAAGGCGTTGCACCTTTTCGAGGCACAGCGCCATGTACATGGTCAGCAAGCGGAATAGGTGCTCGTCCAGCGTGGCGTTCTTCAAGTAGAGGCGGATCCCCTTTGTCGTGGACATCTCTTCCTCGGTTAATGAGACGTAGAGACCATGAGCATTCCGGGCTCGGAATACTGCACATCGCAAGTGTCTTTGTACGGCGACGACGTTGAAGACCCCGGATAGCGAGCGTAGGATACTCGGTATGTCTTTGTCCGGTGCCTCGACAATGATGCGCGCGTCGCGCAGCCTGTGCGCAGTGACCGTTCGGAGGAACCTTGCATCTTTTGCCTTCTTAATCGTTAAATCGAGATATTCTAAGCGATCCAGTTGGACGTCCACCATATTCGCAGACGGAGACAAGGACAAGTCGACAGTCAGCCGACGAAGGTTCGGCATCGTAAGCAGATCCTGTTGGAATTGCAAGGTCGACGTCCCGGACTCTTTGGGCACTAGCAATGAAAGCTTCTCGACCGTCGGAAGGAATAGTGCCCGCGCGGCGCGATAGGTGAATTTATGCACCGTGAGGTCCCTCAGCCTCTGTGACCGGAAGATACTAAGCAAGGTATGCTCGTTAGCATCAGGGACCGCGTCCAGGTTGTCAGCGACCTTCTTCAGCTGGAGCTCCTCAAGGATTGGCGCCGGGAAGTCAGGGTTCACCGGGTTCGCCACAACCCACTGGCGCAGTGCTTTCCTGGAAACCTTTATGTCGACTCGCCGTATGTGGTCCATGTGCTTTCTGATATGCCTCACCATCCTCATATATCCAGCTACGCCGCGATACAAATTTCCCGTGATGTCCAGTGGCACCGGAAGTCCTCCGCTACGCTCGGTTGCCCGGGTGCGATTCAGCGCGTGGGCCACTGCATTGGGGTTCTTCAGCTGGACGTTGCACCAACGTGCGCTCCAATCCATAATGATGTCGCGCCAGCTACGACAGACCAACATGAGCTCGGTACACTCGCGGTCTGCTACCCACTGGTCGTTGGGGTTGTGAGCCAAGACGTAAGAGAAAATCTTGTGGTGAAGCTCAACCGGAAGCTTGGAGATCGGAGGGACTGTCTTGGTTGGATTCTGGAGTATCTTAGAGACGATCCTATTCCAGTCCTTGCAGACCAGCTTGAGGCGCGTCGCGTCGTCGGCGAGAGACGACGTGTGGCGAGAGGGGGTATCGGGCGAAGTAGTATTGAATGATCTCGTGC